CTCTGACTTCATAGATGTAATATCCGACTGTCGGCCGAAAGATTTGTCTACTGCTCAGCAGTCCGCTACGTCCTCTTTAATGTCTGTGAGACATGGCCATTGAAAGTGGAAGAAATGAAATGCCTATTTAGCTACCTTTGACCATACGTGCCTACGTTCTACATACCATGTTAAGTGGTATAATAGCGTGAGCCATGTTGAGGTTAAGCATTGAGTGGTAGGTAGGTAAGGAGAAGGGGGAATCAATAGACAAGTTTGTGAAGTTACATCGACTGAGATGGTCAGGAGATGTGTTACACATGCATGTCTAGCCATCGATCGCCCTCCTTGACAACGAGCAACGCTGGCTGAAATAGGATGGATCAGGTTGGAAAAGAGCTGACTAGTGGTGGTCAAAACAAAATATGGCTACATCAGTCAATGAAATCCACAACAGTTAGTTTAAGCGCCAGTCACGTAGGAAAGTGTAGAATTCCTGACTGGTTGATGTCCTCGGGATGGTACACACCGATGAAGGCTGGAGACAATTCTCAGCGATGGCTGGCGCAGATGCATCCACTCCTTATGATTTATCCCATCCAATAAAATTCTACTATTCTTCCATATTACTAATCTTTTTGCCTCAGTCACACTTTTGTTTATTATCTCGCTATAGAATCTCTCTCCTGTCTCTTCTCTTGATTTGTGTGATACATGGAGAGAGATGGAGAGTGGTAAGTTGAAGTGTTGCACATCTATGCAAAGTTCTACGTTGAAATCATGCCCATTATCCCAATTTCTTTTCAACTTCATCATAGATGTACTAATGGACTTAACCCTAACTCACTTCAGAGACTCAGGGATTGACTTGCTACCAGGGAATAATCTGGTTGACTTAGAATATGCAGACGATATAGTCCTTCTAGGCGAGGACGCTGACAAAATGCAGAGTCTTCTGAACACCTTGAGCAGCAATCTTCGTATGTTTGGCATGCGATTCGCCCCTGTAAAATGTAAGATGATGCTGCAGGATTGGACTTCACCGACCCCTAGATTAGAAATAGGAAGTGAAGTGGTAGAACGCGTTGACTGCTTCAATTACTTGGGAAGTACCATCAGCCCCAACGGGTTGATCTCAGACGAAATTTCAGCACGAATACAGAGGGCTAGGTTCGCATACGCCAGTTTACGCCGTCTCTGGCGTAGACGTGATATCCGACTATCGACCAAAGGGCGTGTGTACTGCTCATCAGTCCGCTCCGTCCTCCTTTATGGCTGTGAGACCTGGCCATTGAGAGTGGAAGACATGAAAAGATTGGCTGTCTTCGATCATAGGTGCCTGCGTTCTATCTCCCGTGTTAGGTAGTGGTTTAATAAGGTGAGCAATATTGAGGTTAGGCGTCGAGTGCTAGGTAAGGCAGGGAAATAAATCGACGAGGCTGTGAAATTACATCGACTGAGATGGTTAGGACATGTGTTACGTATGCCTAGTCATCGCCTTGCTCGATGGGCAATGTTAGCTGATATAGGGTCAGGCTGGGAAAGAGCTAGCGGGAGTCAAACGAAAACATGGCACCAGTCAATGAAATCTACAACAGTTAGTCTAAGCCATGTAGGAAAGTGTAGAATTCCTGACTGGTTGGGGTCCTCGGGACAGGAAAAACCAATGTCTGCAAACAATTGGTGACATGGCTCAAAATCGTTCTCAGCGATGGCTGACGCAGTTGTATCCACTCCTTGTGAATTATGATTTCCAATGAAACTGTTTTGTTCTCCGTTATTACTATTCCTTTGTCTCACTACACCTCTGTTTACTGTCTATATTATGCATTTCCTCTACTTTCTTCTCTTGCTTTGTGTGCTACCAGGAGGGAGTGTGGCGACTTGAACTGCCGCACATATGTTCAAAGTTCTATGTCGAAAACCGACCGACCGACGTTGAAATCAATCAGTCAATCTACTCACATGATTGGAGCATTCGCTCAGGTGACTGAAACAAGCTAAAATCAAGGTACAAAAGAGCATCTTATAGGCTACGGACATGACAATAACACTGTTAGTTCATGCATTGTTTTCACCAGACTAATAAGCAGGGAGAGATGCTTGAATTTGCAGACTCATATAATTAGAATTTATAAATCCAATCTCTGTGTATAGAAGGATTCGTTGGTCGCTTTGAATCCACCGTTGTAATATCTTTTGCTTATTCAATGCTAATATTACCACTATCATTATTATTCTCAAGTGTTGGTTTGTAGGGATTTGATTGGTTACAGGATTTCATCATGAGCTGACATCAGTTAGAGAACCATTGGAAAACCTGGGAGTACTGGACAGCTGTTTCGTCCTAGTTTGGGACTCTTCAGCAGTACGCACCCACCGGGATTCGAACCCAGGACCTTCTGGTTACAAGGCGAGCTCGTATACCATTAAGCCGCTGGGACCCGATCCAATGGTCCATGAATTTTAACTTCTGCCAATTCACGACATAGCGCGACCCCTAGCCAATGTCTTCGGCGAGTATTTGTCCTCACGCCCGACCTGCTGCACCCTACTGGTCACGACTTCTGTTTGCAATTCTTAATATCTTCAAGTTTTTTCTCTGATAACTAATTGTTTATTTAGGTTATGTAGCTGAACCATGTAGCTGCATTATTAACCTTATATATATTAATCTCTCATAACCCTGTTTCCCCTTATCTATCTGAATATGACCTGAAAAACATTCACACCTGGTGTTTTGCATGATTGATTCAATGTAGGTTACTTCCTTATCAATATTATAGTTTGTTTATTAGGTAAATCACACACAGTCAGTGAAACAGTATTATTATTTACTGGATGACACAGTTTCAAACAAAATTTATTCATTGTTCATAATCATATCAATTATTATTATTATTATCATAATTACTTCCTTATCAGTTATACATATCGGAATATATTTTTAATGATATTATATATATATATATATTAAGAGCGACTTTCTCTCATGAAACCTAGGTCCAAGAGTTCCTGCTGATCGCCTCCAGCCATCTAATATCAATGATTCAAAGTGCACCGTGATGGCGAGCTACCTAGAATTGTGGGCACATTGTGAACTTGACTGGTGGAATTCAACCTGCGCCAACACCGAGGATAGATACGTCACACTAGGTACTAACTAGCGTCCAGGAAAAGTATCCAATACAGTCCTACAGGAGGTCAATCACGAGCCCGAATAGCTAAGTGGTAACCTCCTGTTTGACGTTAACAGTGGGTGATGCAGGTTCGAATCTCAGAAGGAAAATAAGTTCCTTGAAGGCTGTGAATACGCCCTGCTGACTGGTAAGTGCCGGCAGGCACGAAAAATAGGATCAAGGCATCTTCTAGATTACCTCCGACTATCTGATTTGAACAAACTCGTTGTTAGGGCGTTAGATAATTCCGTAGTCAGAGACAATAAATCACAGTGACGGAATATACACATTCGATCTTAGGAATTATCAAAAAAACGATTGTGGCGGAGGAAATTTTCGTTTCGACGAAGTCATCAACTAGGCCGTACATTCGTGTATTTTTAACAAATGGGTGGGAAAGTTCCTGAATAATCTCCGGTCAAGGGTCAAATTAATAAAATTACAATGAGGAATTAAAACGGTTTAGTAAACTGGGGTATGGATACAACTCAGACAAAGTAGCATCATAATTACTGGGAAGATTGTCAAATTGTGCAATTAGGGGTTTGAAATGTAGGAATAACAATTAGACAGGATCGTTGGATAAAAAATCTAGTGGGATAATAACTAATGTGACGAATAATTGTTTATGCAGTTAGGTATTAAATATGTAGAAATAATAAAATGACAAAAAATAGACAGGAAGTTCAGATATGAAAATATGGTAGTGTAAATAGGAATTAAGAAAAACTTAAAAATAACATGAATAAACAGAAAGTTTGGATAAGAAAGGCAATGAGATAGTCTCTATTAAAAGAGTTACGTGTTTATGATGGCCATGGTAGGGACAAGGGTTCGATGTATTTCTTTTGGATATATAGAGTGGGTCTGGGCTTTTGGATAGCTAGTGTCTCAGCTATGCCCAGATGTCATAATTTTACTCCCTTTGATAGGTTTGATCGAATCTTGTACATGATTTTGAAGGATTTTTCAAATGGCGCTGAATGTTCTGAATTGACTAGATGTTCTGTCACTCAACTATATACACTTTTTCGTTCTCAGTGAATAGAACTCACACTATTGGAAAATCAAAATTTGTTATGTACGATGTCATATGTAAAGATGATGATGATGATTTAATACAGTGAGTAGAATTCAAAAGATCGAACATAAATCTAATATGAAAGTCATGGGAAAATGCTGGGGTGTATGGGGACTAAAACATAGTGATGAAATCGGTATATAAGGAGGTACTACGGAGTGAGTAACCAGGGCAACTGAAGTCCCACGAAGGATGCCTTTTGAACACATAAGTCAGGTCTCAGTCATCTTCTTGCGATAGCCTCAACAAACCGAAGAAGATTTGGGCTGTTCTTGTTTGTTAAATACGTTGTATCACTCTCCGAATTTCCAAGGGAGATTGCGTGTAAGAAGTTCCTAAAGAAACGAGTACAAATACCTGAATTATGGGTTTCAAAAGGTTGGAGTAGGACACAATTATCGATTGCTCCTCTTGCTTAGTTATCGTACTTCATTCTCCATCTCAGTTAATTCGCCTCTGTTTTCACTCCTTGCATCCTGAGTGGAATATAGGGTTCCAAGCCTCGAGGTTTCACTAACAATGATATTCTTTTCACTCCACGGGCCGTTAACCTCGTGACTAACCTTACCTCTTTCCAGGTTCACTGTAGGCTAGTGAACCAGCCGAGGTTGAGCACTGCTCCGGGCAGGGATTTGAATTTGAACCTTCCACCTACCCACAGGGCATCCTACCCTTGAACCGTCAACACTATCTGTGTATACGCATACAATCATGCGCATTTTAATATAATTTCGTTTTTTTCTCTTTTTCTGTATTTACAGAAGATCCCTACATTCCTAGTTATATGGATCCAGCTAACGGTCCTGAACCATGTGTTGTCTGCGGTGATAATGCTACCGGGTTTCATTATCGTGCTATGACATGTGAAGGTTGTAAAGGTTTTTTTCGGCGTTCAGTACAAAAGAAACTTGTCTACACGTGTAAATTCAATGGGAGATGTTCAGTTTCAGATAAACAGAATAGAAACAGCTGTCAAAAGTGTCGTTTCGATCGATGCATTAAAGGTGGTATGGCTAAAGATTGTAAGTTTACAGGACTGATTGTGTTTATACGTTATGAGGCATAATAATTTTATGAGGGTTGATGATACTACTGAGTTGCCTGTTTTGAAGTAGACATAGTAGGGAAATAAATGAGTCATAAGAAAAAGACGTAAACAGCGAAGAAAATTTTCTTTCCAACGATTCATTTTCATAAGATAATAAAAGGAAGCAGAGTTATAGTAAGAACGTCACTGTGGTCACGGTAGGGCGAGTGAATGTATGTAGAGCTTTTAAATGCAGAGGTCCAATTTCAGATGCCGAATAGCCAATGATTTAGCTATGTACAGATGACGTATGTACTACATACATTCACCAAGATTCATCGACAAAAACAGGAAAGAAATTCCCCCATCGTCAAAGATCACAACTGTCCCTAAGGAAAATCTCTTCATGAACCTGGAATTCATTAGTGATATCGAAGAAGGAATTATTAGAAACCGTCTTTCTAAATGTATGAAGATGACATTTCAAGCAACCACCTCACACATAACATTCTCCAGCAGACAATTTATCCAGTTTAACATTTAGGATAAGATACCGCTTTTGGCCACCTCAGTGTGTGCTTATCAGTTTACCTGATCGTGTGGAGCAAAGCATATCGGTTGTACACAACGTCAAATCCGCAGACGTATTTTGGAACACTGTCCGGCTTGGCTAGCTAGCCAGAGGAGAAAAGAAGAGTACTAGCAGCTCCATCTTCGAACACCTTGTGAAAACTGGACATCAAGCACCGCCACCCTACATGAATGTTTCACAGTGCTACAGAAAGTCCCTCAGCATTGAACAAAGCTACTTCGAATACACTATCTGTATATAGCTGAATCATTGGCTATTCAGGATCTGAAACCAAACGTCTGCATTCTAAAGCACCACATACATTTACTTATCCTATCGTGGCCAGAGTAACGTTCTTACTACGATTTTGCTTTCTTTTATTATTCATCGATTCTAGGTTAAACCTTACATTACGTAATACGTTTCCCGAGAAAGAGAGAGAGAGAGCCTGGCATGTGATGTCACTTGATGATGGTTTGTTTTCTCAGAGTATGGCCAATCCACCTCCATTCCTTCCTGCTTATTTGTCGCATAATCGGTTCCTGGTTGGTTCGCTACCAGAAATCCCTGTTGCTCATCTTTTCTGGTCGGCCATCTGATCTTGAGTATTGAGCGAAGACAGATGTTGATGAAAGTCTGCAGTTTGTTTGAGGTGCTCTTCATGACGCGCCAAGTCTCTGATCCATAAAGTTCAAAATCGGGATCTTATTTTCATTTTCATGCTGAGTAGTGCTGTTGACCTCCACACCGACTTGAGAGTAATGAAAGTTTGCCTTGCTTTCCCATTCGTCGCTTTTATTTCCTCGTCAGTTCCGTCTGCCTGTAGTTGAAACGATGCTTCCCAGGTAGGTAGGTGGTAAATGAGATTGCTTCTTTTAGATTTCTCCCATTTATGCTGATTGTTGTCCGTTGTTGCTGTTGGCCAGGAATCTTCATCACCTACCTCTGTTGTCTCTATGTTCACCTGAAGTCCTATCTCCTCTGGATGCTTCTTCTACCAACTTGTTCCTCTTCACTCACATATTTTCCAGTTTGTGGGAAATCAGACATACATCACATCGGTGAAGTCCAAATACTCCAGGTATTTTTGTGTGGGTCCATTTTATTCCTAACTCCTTGTTGCCCGCCGCTGTCTGTCACATTATCCAGTATACCGCAATCAGGAAAATCATTGGAGATAGTAGGCAGCCAGCCAGCCTAGTATTACTCTTGTCTTCACTTCTTCGAAGGATTCCATGAGTTTCCCGTTGTGTAAAATTTGGCATGCAGCATCGTCGTACAACTGTTGGATGAGGTGTATAATTGCTGGCGGCACCCCAGCTTACCGCCGTTCTAAGCTCTGTTCAGTGAGGATCCGTAGTGTTGCGATTTGATCGATGTATGACTTGTTTCCCCTGAATCAAGCCTGTTCCTGTCGAAGTTTTTCATCCAGGGCTCGTTTGATTCTCTCTAGGGTGATGCGGCTTAGTATTTTGCTTGGGATGAACAGGAGCATAATGCCGCACCAGTTCTTGCATTGACCCAAGTCCCCTTTCTTTGGCAGTTTGAATAAGTAGCCTTTCTTGCAATCCGCAGGTACCTTGCCCTCTTTTCGCACCTTCTCCAGTAGTGGTGTCATCAAGTCCGCTAATGTACGTAATTTCTAAGAGACAAGGGCTCCGCAGGTTCTTCGGGGTGTGGATATCTTCTTGTACACTCGCTTCAAATCATAGTCAATGAATACATCTTTCAGCAGTCGTACGTATTTATCTTTCCTTAAGCTAGTTGAGGTGGTCTTAAGAGCGGCCCAGCCACCGAGTTAGGTAGACCAGGCTAAATAGTCATTAGGTGGTTTGGCTAACGCTCAGGTTTAGCAGGACCTTGCCCTCTTTCCGCACCTTCTCCAGTAGTGGTGTCATCAAGTCCGCTGATGTCTCAGGGTCCATTTTCAATGCCTCCGCTGGGATTCCATCTGGTCTAGCTGCTTTTCCAGCATCTTGATTGCCTTCAGGATTTCTGTTTACGTCGGAGGTTTGATGTCCATTGGTAGTTCTGCTTCCGCTGTTGGTATTATTGGGCGCGTTGTAGATGGCGGTCGATTTAGAAGTCTTTTGAAGTGTTCAGCCCAGTGTTTCCTTTGCTTCACTTCTTTGGTGATTGGATTTCCATTGTCATCCTTCGCTGGTTTAATTTGTATTGACCTATTCCCCGATAGGAACCTAGTTGTTTGGTAGAGTGCTGCGAGGTTTCCTTTGCCTGCAGCTTGTTCCGCTTCACTTGCCATAGCTTCATAATATTTTCTTTTGTCTTCCCTGGCACTCTTCGTTACTCAATGTATTGTTCAATGTATTTTAGCTTGCATTCAACTCCTGTTTTTGTTGTTCGTCGATGCACTGGATAATCTTTTGTTTCAACATCCTCCTCTCTTCTATTAGTCTCCATGTGTCCGTAGTGAGCCATTGTTTGTTCTGTCTCTTCTTTCTGCCCAGAACTTCCAAGCAGGTTTGACTCCATACCGCTTTCGGGCATTTCCAGTGTTTTTCAACGTTGATCACTTCGCTACTGTTGGTTTGAGTCTCTGCCTTTTTCCTTATGTTTGCAGTGAAGATGTCCTTTGTGGCCTTATCCCTCAGTTTTTGAGTATTGCACTTGGCTTGTGGTTAGTCTGCAGCTCCTGTTTCTGTGGATTAAAGAAGTTACTACTAAGTTTAAAACCTATCTAAAAATTTAGCATTTCATCTCAAATTCTAATCAATAAATTCACTTTCGTATAAATTTATTTCAGTGGTGCTGGATGAAGAGAAACGCCTGGCAAAACGTCGTCTTATTGAAGCGAATCGTGCACGTAAACGTGCTGAATCTGATAATGCAATGCAACAAGGCCAGTTGACTTCAGGTCCAAGTCCACCGAAACAAACCAACTTCTCACAACAACAACAACAACCACTGCCACCATCTGTTCAACCGATTGCTGTTACTCCCTCACCTCTTCTCTCGTCTCCATTAGTAAGTCAACAGAATCCACATAATCATCAAATCCGGCAACAATCACAATCACAACAGATTAGATCACCATTAGTATCAACAACGAATCAACAACGTCCTGTGCTACACAATAGTTATCCAACGACAATAACTACACAAACAGGCATAATGAATTTCGCAAGTCTATCACCGAATGATGAGAAGTCCACTCACCAACTACATATGTGTACTAATCTCAGCCCGAAACCATCAGGTGCATCAACAACCACCTGTGTAACTAGTTTCAATCGACATGATTCTACATCTTCAATTCAAGCAATATACGATCCAAATTGTGCTATGCTTCCACTATTGCAAACTTCACCGACAAGAAATCAATTCATCTACTCAGATGGCAATTCTCCAGTACATCATCAAGGTCATTATATAAGTCCTAATCATCATCATCATCATCAACCTCCACCTGCTGCTTCATTTCATCAGCATCAACAGCCTCCAGTAGTACATTCTCTACCAGCTCCAACTACCGATATGCTATCGAATAATGCACTACATTCAAATTCCATGATAAACATCACATCAAATGTTCCAGTGGACCCTAATAATCATATTTATTGGCCGAATAATTCATGTGTAAGTGAAGTAATGGAGAGTACATTTCATCAACCTTTAACCACGTTACATAACAATAATAGTAATAGTAATAATAATGACAGTGTTAGTCAAATACATCAACATGTTCCACCGTCAAACACTTCAGGACAACATCATCAAGACAGTATGATTCATACAAATGTTGTAACTAATTCTACATGGGATAGTGAACAATTTACACCATCGATTATATCTACCGGGGGTCATGTTTCACAATGTTGTCCAGTAAATATAGTCAGTGAAACTCTACCGTATACATCACATCCACAACAACACTTTCAACATGTTGAACAGCAATCGCCTCATCACCACCATCAACAACAACAACAACAAGCATCTCCACCTCAATCAGTTACACCGTTGAAACATCATCCAGATGTCACACTAGTTATGCAAAATACAAATTCTATGAATATTTTTCAAACAGATGGACCAATTCTAGGGAATAATTCAACAATTAGCAGCACCAACAGCGACAGCAACATTAATAATAATAATGAAATGAATAATATGAAATTGATTCAATTAGACGATGAAAATTTTACAACATCGATGACTTCAATGATGAATACACCGTCTGATATGAATTCGTTACATCTAACATCTTATTCCTCCTGCTCCTTATCAGCATCATCGCAACCTTCATCGTTGTCATCATCCTCATCATCGTCTTCTTCTTCGTGTTCCGGTTCTTCATCAATCTCATCATCGTCATCATCTAATTTTTCAGTACCAATAGGGAAAGAAGGAGAGGAAAAATTTCCCATCGTTTCAAAATCAGCTGACTCATTCAGTGGGACAGATGAACTATTTCTTTGGACGATTGATGATCAAAATTTAATTGATTCAATTCGTAATGCCTATGAATCGACATATTTTGATTCGGTAAGTTTATTTACATCTATTGTAGGGTTAATGTTTCGCTATTTGTGGGTATGTGTGGATGATCGGTTTAAGTAGTCAATTTCTCGCCAGCTGAGTCCAAACCCAAGTCCCTCCCTCCAATCATTTCAGCTTAAGCAACTGGGCGGTGTTATCAGACTTCATACGATTATGCTTATTGTTGATCTTATTTCTTTTTTGTTCCCAGTGGAATATAAGGTTTCAAACTGGAGTTTCGGAGTTTTATTGGCAGTGGTATTTTATACAGGATGGGGTTGCTAGCCTCACATCCGACCTTCTGTCTTTACCAGGCTTACTACTTGTTAAACAAAGTAAAGGTGTGCGTCAGCTAGGGATTCCGGGACAACTTCCAGGGCTGGTCAGTGTTCTATCACTGAAGCACAGAGCAATTTTGAGGTTAGGCGTCAAGTGCTAGGTGAGGAGAGTAAATCAGTGGACGACGCTGTGAAGTCACATCAATTGAGGTGGTTAGGACATGTGTACGTATGCCTAGCCATCGCCTTCTTCAACAAACAGGCAATGTTAGCTGACGTAGAATGGATAAGGTTGGAAAAGAGTTAGTAAGTGGTGGTCAGACGAAAACATGGCGGCAAGGGTCAATTATATCCACAACAGTTAGGTTAAGCCAACCACTTAGGAAGATGTAGACTTCCTGAATGGCTGAGTTCCTCGGGACGGTAAATACCAGTGGCTGGAGACAACTAGTGATATGGCTGGCTCAAAATCGTTCTCAATGTCTAGCACAGATGCATCCACTCCTTGTGACTTACAGTATCCAGTGAAACTATATTGTTCTTCCATATTACTATTCTTTTCGCCTCATATCTCTGTCTACTGTTTCTATTTTGCATTCCCTTTTACTTTCTTCTCTTGCTTTGTGTGCTGCATGGGGGGGGGATTGTGGCAACTCGAACTGCTGGATATCGGTGCCAAGTTCTATGTTGAAACCAGCCAGTCGGTCAGTCAGTCCATACGATGATAAGTGTGGCTGTTTGTTGGATATGTGAAAAATTAGTTCCGAATTATTGAATTCTGGCTATAGTAGAATAAGAGACTGAACAGACGCTTTATGTACACATCGCTAGCACTTCCGCTATACACAAATGCCGAAACCTTGGACCATTTGGTTTTGCCTTACTTTACTTAACTTTTGTTGCTGCGCGTTCCCAGTGGAATATAGGGCACCTTCAAGCTACAGCTTTAACGTTTCGGTAGCACTGGTGTTTATTTTTACAGGATGGGATTGCTAGCCAGCCTCATGCCCAGCCTAACTTTTTTTTTACTTTACTTCGGCTATCTCCTACGGGAGGATGAGCCGGCTTCATGAACACCTCGAATCATCGCTGCCCAGGAGCGGCGATCTGATGCAACGTTTTGCGACAGGGTTATCCAATTAAGAGAGTTCATAAAGTTTCATGGGAATTTGGTACGAGTGATGTCCCCAGAATCGCTCGGCCTTTTGTTTGAGAGTGCAGCTCTAGCCTTTACACAACCAAGTGTCACCTACAAGGCAGTAGGAGTGGAGTAGGGAGTCCACTATCCATTGGCAGCCGGTGACCGGAGTTCGGTTCATACGCCTTTTTGAATGGGGCCAGACATCCAGGACATCCAACAAGCCGTTTGTCCATACGTCTGCCGGTGAGCTCCAGTGAGCTTCATACGCCAGTCGTTGGAGGTTTGGAATCAGGGTTTAGCCATCTCCCCTAGACTGTCATCCAATGGACAGTTAACCCGGTGAAGAGCGCCGGGCATCCGCTTTCGCTCTCTCACTTCCATACCTGTACCACAAATACTGTTTGGAATAAAGCCATTATTATTATTTTTTTAAAAACACCTCCGCCACGTGAAGGCAGTGAGTAGGACTTCCTCAGGAGAGGCTAACGTCCCATCTTTACCGGTGTTATTACTGGCTTAGCGGGGTAAAGGAGTGCTTTGGCTGGGGATCAAACCCTGAACCACATGTCGTGTGTATGGCAGGCATTCTACCTCTGTGCCACCGACGCACATTTGGTTTTACCACGCAGATTATTTTGAAAGAGGACTCTGGTGGAGCTTCGTGAGCTGAATTCACCAGATGCTCGAGAACTGAGCTAGTCATTTTCTTACATCTTCCTGGGTAATCTAGTTTCAACGCAGAACTTTACACAGAAACGGATTAGTTCAAGTTACCACACTCCACAAATCACACAAAGAAAGCACACAGAGAGAAAAACGGATTCAAAGGAACTTTAGTAAACAGAAAATCGGTAGAGAAAAACTAATAAGACAGAGAAACATTAGGGTTTAAGAGATGTAGGGTGTCACAATTAGTGAATGTATCCACTCCATTGCACCAGTTATCTCCAGCCATTGGTTTTTAGAATCCCCCGGGATCCCAACCAGGAAGCGTAACGCCACTCCTACATCACTAGCTGAAACTAACTATCAAGGATTTCGTAGATTGATCTCAAGTTTCGATTTGACCATCATTCAATCTTTTCCAACCTTATGCTGTGTTAGCTAACATTGCCCGTTATCAAGGAAGGCGATAGCTAGGCTTGAATAACACGTATTCTAGCCATTTGAACCAATGTAGCCATGAGGGAATAATGTTCGAAAATGAGTTTGTGAAGTGTGCGGTTTATGCAATCAATATGTTTAGCTATACAGGAGTATTTGAGTATGACAGAATCATTGGCTAAATACTTAGAAGAAGAACTTACTTTTCAAAGTGTCGGTGGCACGGCGGTTAAGACTTTCGCCGACCACGCCTGTCTGTCTGTCTATTTTCGACATAGAACTTTGCACATATGTGCGGCAGTTCAAGTCGCCACACTCCCTCCTTGTAGCACACAAAGCAAGAGAAGAAAGTAGAAGAAATGCATAATATAGACAGTAAACAGAGGTGTGGTGAGACAAAGGAATAGTAATAATGAAGAACAAAACAGTTTCATTGGAAATCATAAGTCACAAGGAGTGGATACAACTGCGTCAGCCATCGCTGAGAACGATTTTGAGCCATGTCACCAATTGTTTGCAGACATTGGTTTTTACCGTCCCGAGGACCCCAACCAGTCAGGAATTCTACACTTTCCTACGTGGCTTAGACTAACTGTTGTAGATTTCAGTGACTGGTGCAATGTTTCGGTTTAACCGCCGACCATGCACACGGTCCGGAGTTCAATCCCCGGCCGACGCACACCTGGTATCGATGGTCGGCCTGCTAAATTTCGGCTACGGATATCACATACTGAAAATTTCATACTTGTATCCAAAATACTGTGTGGAATCAAGCTATAATTAAAAAACATTTACTTAGTTTTCAATTTTTTTAGAATTTAAACGGTTAGAAATAATTTTCACATTATGTCACTAGATTGTCGAAAAGCATTTCTGCTGCAACTATAAGCCATCCATCTCATTATATCATGTACGTGTATTTATAAATACGTTCATTGTCACTTTGTATACTTAATTTTTTGGTCAATGAAACGTGTCACTTAAATGTTGCTCAATAACCGCTGAGCTAAATCTGTTTTCAAGTACTGGTTAGTAGGGATTTGATTGATTGGTTACAGGATTTCATCAAATCAATCAAAAGTGGACAAATACCCACCTCATGTTACCTCCAACTGTGTCTACCAATTTACATGTACGTGCCAAAGCACCTACATCGGAAGAACAGAGAGAAGGGTTATTGTCCGCATTTCTGAACACATACCAAAGAACCTGAGACTGAAAGGTCCACAAGTATTAAACAGTGCAATTGCGCGTCATCTATTAGACACTGGTCATAATGTAGACAACTTGAAGTCATTCAAAATAATCAACAAGCAAAAGAAACCTAACTTGCTACGCTTTGCTGAAGCAATTGCTATCAGACGACTGAAACCAAATCTATGTACGCAGAAAGAGACAGTGGTGAATCTTGCACTGCCTTGGTGACAAAATATATATATATATATACAACAGCTTGTTTTTGTTTCCAAGCCTAATTGCCTAATTATTCTATAAATATTTATAAACTGTCAAATATTGATCACAGTTCATTTGAATTATTCTATAAATAGTCAGTGTTTGTAACTCTTAATTAGTTAAATCATTCCGGACTAATGTTACTTTTACTTCCTACCAATTACTTACTCCTTGTGATCTTGGAAAAGTATGTTCAAATCTTTAATGTAATGTAATTCATATTTTTCATCGTTCAGGTTGTAACCAGTTGAGAAGAATCCTCGAAATAATAAAAAATGAGCTCATATTATCCTGGTACAATTGTTGTTCTTGCTTTGTTCAAGTTTATTAATGGGAGGAATGACAATTGTTGAGGCCCACGTCTTGGGAATACTCTTTCAACCATGCATCTTACCTAATATTCTTTATTGTTCCCACCCCGCCCCCTTAGTCTTTCCTGGGCTACTCAAAAAGGACTATGTCATGAATTACATATTCATATTTTTCATCGTTGTAACCAGTTGAGAAGAATCCTCGAAATAATATAAAATGAGCTCATATTATCCTGGTACAATTGTTGTTCTTGCTTTGTTCAAGTTCAACATCAGTGAGATGCTCACTAGCAACTGGTGGCCCTATATAGGTGGGTAGTTACCTGAGTTTCTGCTGGGAAGTTGTCACCAATAGGGTGTAGCAGGTTGGGTGTGAGGACAAATACTCGCCAGCTATAACACTGGCTAGTGGTCATGCTATGTCGTGAATTGGTAGAAGTTGGAATTCATGGACTGGCCATTGATACGGGTGGGACCCAGTGGCTTAATGGTCTACGAGCTGGCTGGTCTTGTAACCAGAAAGTCCTGGGTTCGAACCTCGGTGGGTACGTAATGACGATGAGTCCCAGACTAGAGCGGAACGGTCGACCATATCTGTCTTTCTGTCTGGATTCAACATAGAACTCGGCACTGAGGTGCAGCAGTTCGAGTTGCCACGTTCCAAACAGCACACAAAGGTAGACAAGAAAACGAAGAAGAGAATCAATAGAATTTAGACAAGTATAAGAGTGAAACAGAATGAGTAATGGTAGAAAGGAATATGAAAGATTACACATGAGACTGAATACATCTGCGCCACAGACGACGATTTTGAGCCATGTCACCTATTGTCTCCAGCCATTGATTGATTCTTAGAGTCCCGAGGGCGGGCCCCAACCCGGTAGTCTGCATCTCCCTCCCTACCTGACTCAGTTTAACTGTCATGGATTTCATGGATTGATGAGGCCATGTTTTTGTTTGGCCACCACTTACTCTTTTCCAACCTGCACCTATATCAGCTAGTAATGCCCGTCCGTCGGGGGAGGCGATGGTTAGGCATGTGCACCACGTGACCTAGCCATCTCAGTCTATGTAACTTTATAGCCTCTTCGATTGATTTTCCCTCTTTGCCCAACACTCTACGCCTAACGTCAACATTACTTACCTCATTATACCACCTAACGTGAGAAAGAGATCGTAAACATCTATGATCGAAAACAGTCAACCTTTTCATGTCTTCAACTCGTATTGGCCATGTTTCAGAGCCATAGAGAAGGACGGAGCGAACTGGTGAGCAGTACACACGTCCCTTGGTTGATAGCCGGATGTCACGCCTACGCCAGAGACGGTGTAAGTTAGCGAAAGGAGCTCGAGCTTTTTCGTATCCGTGCTGAGATTTCGTCACCAATCAATCCGTTGTTGCTGATACAACTTCCCAAATAGGTGAAGTGGTCAACATGTTCTATAACTTCACTCCCTATCACTAAGCTAGGTGTAGACGTAGTCCAGTCCTGTAGCAGCATCTTACATTTTACAGGGGCGAATTGCATGCCAAACATACGAAGATTGCTGCTCAAGGTGTTCAGAAGACTCTGCTCTATTTTGTCAGCACCCTCCCCTAACAGGACTATGTCATCTGCATATTCTGAGTCCATAAAATTACTCCCTGGTAACAAGTCGACCATATACAATCCATATTTCTATGTAGAGTATTATTACCGACGTACATTTGAATTGTCAGTAATAATATCAACATTTATATACTATACAGTTAAACGAACGTGTTTTTTTTTTTTTGGTGAAAAAGACTGCTCAAACACTGACTGATAAACTGGAATTGAAAGTTGTGGCCTATTGAATAAAATTCAAGGTTATATAAGTAGTACTTTATTTTTTATTTTTTAAAAAGTAGAGTAAAGTTCATTAGAATACATAGTTGATTCTTCCTGACCTTGAACTTTTGAATAAGTAATCTAATCATCTAATCTTTCATTTAATTAATTTAATATTTGAAAAATAAAACACGTTAACATAAAACGAAATGAAACTACAATATTCTTGAATGTATATTTTTTCTAAAGTATAAATTATTGCATAAATCTTATCAAAGATAATAACAAGTTAGGTAAACGTTTTTCAAGGTTGTTCGATCAATTAAATAGTTCATATTGATTATCTGTCAACGACATGAATGATGGTGATGATGGCGTCCATCATAGTGAGTTGTGTCTATGGTGTAAGGGCTGATGATACTAGACACTAGATGAAAGGATGTTTAACCTTTAAGTAAATGGCCAATGAATGGCAATGTCAAGTATTTGCCTTCCTCGACAACGGGCAATGTTAGCGGACATAGGATCAGGTTGGAAAAGAGACAGCTGGTGGTGGTCAAACCAAAACACGGAGGCATCAGTCAATGAAATCCACAACAGTTAGTTTAAGCCACGTAGAAAGGTGTAAACTTCCTGGTTAGGGTCGTCGGGACGGTAAAAAGCAATGATTGGAAACAATTGGTGATATGGCTCAAAATCGTTGTCAGTGGCTAACGCGAATGCATCCACTCCTTGTGACTTATAATATCCAATAAAACTATATTGTTCTTAGATCTTACTATTCTTTTTGCCTCATATTTCAGTTTACTGTCTCTATTTTGCATTCCCCTTTACTTTCTTCTCTTGCTTTGTGTGCTGCATGGAGAGACTGTGACCACTCGAACTGCTGGAGATTGGTGCAAAGTTCTATGTTGAAACCAGTCACTCAGTCAGACTGGTTTCTTTGTGATTTACAATCGCCTCTACTGGATACCTACAATTTGCTTTGTGTATCTTTTAGTGGTTAAAAGAAACATTCTTTGAAGTCAACACACTAAAAAAGGCTGATTGAGTCAGTGAGTGAGTTCAATTCCCTACAGAACTTTACAAAGAAGTGCAGCATTTCAGGGTTTCCACACTCTGCGTAGCACACATAGGTAGACAAAAGAGTAGAGAAGAGAGATTCAAAAGAAAGATAGTCAAAGGAAATGTGCAGGAAAACAGGTTTCTATGGATATAGAAGGTCACAGAGATTAAACTAGAGAGCCATATTACCCATAGCCTCAAGCAGTTGGTTCTTAGAATCTCGAGAACCCCATTCAAGCAATCTGCACATGCCTATATGGCTCAAATCTACATTCAAAGGCTTCATGAAGTGATGCCAGATCTTGGTTTAACCACCCTTTACTCTTTTCCCACCCAATCCTATGTTAACTCGTCATGTGCAACACGAGTCCTAGACGCCTCAATTGGTTCATCTTCACAACTTCATCGATTGATTTACTCTGCTTACGTAATACTCTAAGCTCAACCTCAATATTACTCGACCTTATTATACCATTTAACAATGGAGGAGTATATCGGTGTTATATTTTACGTCGTCATATTATTCTTCTTCCTATTCTCTCTCTCCTCTCCTCTCGTTCTCTCTCTCTCTCTCTCTCTATATATATATATATATATATGGATATATATTGTATGGAGGATTTCATCATGAGCTGACATCAGTTAGAGAAACACTGGAAAACCTGGAAGTAATGGACAATCATCTGTTTCGCACCAGTTTGGGACTCTTCATCAGTACGAACCCGCAGCCAGTGTTCGAACTCAGGACCTTCTGGTTACAAGGCGAGCTCGTAGACCCGATCCAATGGCCAACCCATGAATTCTAACTTCTGCCAATTCATGCACGACATAGCGCGACCATTTCGCAATATCTTCTTCGATGAGTTACTGCCTCATCTTCAACCTGCTGTACCCTACTGGTCACGCCTTTCCCCTAGAACCAGTCCAGGTTAACTGCTTGAATAGGGCCAGTCGCTAGTGAGCATCAGATTAATTTTCAAGTATTGGTTTTGTAGGGATTTTGTTTGATTGATTGGTTGGAAGATTTCATCATGAGGTGACATCAGTTAGAGAACCGTATATGAATGCAATGTTTGTATGTATGTATATATGTGCATATTTTCTTTACTTTTCCTTCAGCCTACTAAAAAATTTCCTCAAGAGAAACAATTAACTGACAGCACCACCGATGATGTTCAAATGAATTCAGGTGAATTTGTTATTAAAAGCATCGTAGATTCACATGTGACGGGGTTTCTTACAAAGGTGAGTTTAAAAAAAAAAAGAATTAATGTTATTGTTTTCTACAAACTCCAACTGTTGGTTTGTGGGTCTAAACTCTGCCGCATTCTCGGAGGTTTGAGCGTAGAGATAGTAGCATCATTCCTTATACAAGTGGTGTTATTTTTCATTCGTTTGGGTTCTGAGTGGGATATGGAATTGGCAAGTTCTGAGCTTTATAGTTTCAGTAGATACGGTGCAAATTTTCGCGTAGTGGGGCTGCTATCCTGACATTCAACACTCCTTCTTAACCGAGCTTCCTAACTGCTAGGTGAAGTTGTTGAATGTCCGTTGGTTGGGAATCGAACTTAAAGTAAATGCATATGGATATTTATGGCTTTGAACTGACATTAAAACTGTCATTGTTTGATCTACTAAATTTCAGGTCTTTGAGATGGTTCAAAGCCGTTAGAATACGTCATAAACCTTCTAATAAGCTACCTTGTAGGACGTTTCAACTTCTAAACCACAGATTTCTTCTAGCCAGTAACAGATTAGAAAACTGACTGGTTGTCTGACTATCTATCCAATGATCCACTGCATGGAGATGAAATGCCACCACGCAAATGAAGACCTCTTTCGTGACCACTTTGAACAACTTTTTTTTAGAAAATAAATGCGAACTCCACCACCATTCTAGGTAACTCCCCATCACAGTGCACATTGATTTGATGATATTAGATGGTTGGAGGCAGTCGACAGGAAGCCTTGCCTCACCTAGGTTTCGTGCTAGTTGGCACTCATGAGTGAGCAAAGCGCATCTGCATTGTAAACCTGACTGATAGAATTCAGTCTGCACCAAAGAAAGGACTAGACACAAAACACTAGTTACTAGTGTCCAATCAAAATATCCACTACATTCAGTCCTACAGGAGGTCAATCGCGAGCCCAAGTAGCTCATTGATAACGTCCTGTGTGACTGCAGCACTCAATGGGTGACGCGGGTTTGAATCTCAGAAGGCATATGAGTTCCTTCAGGCTTGCAGATATGCCTTGCTGACTGGTGAGTGCCAACAGGCAAGAAACCTAGGTGAGGCAGGCAAGGCTTCCTGTGGCTGATTGCCTCCAACCATCTAAGAAATTCAGTGTAGATTTCGGCATGAATCGACACTAATTAAAGAATCACTGGAAATCGAGTTGAAGTGGGTGATGGGTTCGTCCTAGTTTGTAACTATGCTTAGAATTTGGTGATTACCTAACTCATGTTAGTGTCTGACAAAGTCCACAGTAGAATTAATCAAAATCCATACAAACCAGAAAGAATTCAGCAGCAAATCGGTGCCTTTAGTTTGCTCATCCATTTTAGAATGACAGCCACATGTAATCATGGATTCTAGAAAGACAATTTGTCAACCTTTTAAATATAAATTATGCATTTATCTTTAAAAATACAGGTTCATCTCTCTTGTAAACCACCACGTGTTGTGACGTAACTTCTTGCGTATGCACCATTTAGTAGAGATGTGATACTTGGAGAACTGTAATTATTCAAACAAAGTAACATGGTAGTAAAACATCGGCTAGAGTAAAATCTCAGTGATTCTTTTGACCTGAGTTTGTTCTCATGCGTTAGATGGTGCTTAGTAGTCGAATCTTGAACGTATACTCTACTCGAACGGGCGTTCATGAAAGGGATGCACCCGTGTTCGTGATGATTTCCCCTCCCCTCAACGCATGGGACACGAACCCAGCATCCAACGTTTCAAATCCAATGAAACTATCAAAATAGAACGAAATTCACCTCCTGGATTCCAGTGTGACGGATACCATCATTTATCAAAAGACATACAACTAAGATAAAAGATATTTTGAAGCGATAATACCAAAAGAGTTCGGTAATATCGGTGAAGTTAGACAATCAACTGGAAGTCAACTGGTATTACTCAGCAGATTAGTGGATAGCGCTTTGATGCGTGCTCATTTAGAAGGCCATCACAAATGTACTACCCACTCCCCAGCTGAAAGATCCTGAATAGGCCGAAACGCGCCTTCAGGGCGTACTTTTGTCGAATTGCTCCACAACAGTAATTATAGATACTTTTGTATAATGCAGTTACTTAAATCACTTTTTAAATGGTAGTATATAGCCTAACTACTTATTTTGTTTTTGTTTTTTTTAAATTTTAGTTGGATGAAATCGAACAAGAAGATATAAAACAGGCAAGAGCATTTTATATGACAACATTTCATGATTTAGCTTATCTTATTGAACCAGCGATAACACGTCTGGTGACATTTGCTAAACAAGTGTCCGGATTCGATTTGGTAAGTAAATGTCGACTACATAAGATTCATTTATTGCTAATTTATTATTTCGTCTAAGTTTATCAGTTTTAAGATGCTATGCCTATTATGAAGTCAGGCTATTTTAAATCCATACTCATACGTATACTACTTAAATCGAATTCGCAGCTTTCAGTTTACACAGTTCGTAGAGGTGACATTTCACTACACAGTTCCCGATGAAAATCCAAATTATTCAGAACCTGACGTGTGATCATCTTGATACGGTAAATGGTAATCAGGAAAACAGGCATAGATGCATGACGTCATATACTACTGATTGGTTGTAATGAGTAGTTGTGTTGTACTACTCACATCAACTGTCAGTAGTGTTTGCTAGCCAGGTTGAAATGATCTAAACCCTGGAGGACCGTTTCTTTCATTTGGGACTGAGATCACCAATGGTTTGACTCAGCTCTCTCTCCCTCTCTAACTCACCTTGATTTATATCGAGCACTTGAAACTAACCTAAAATCCTCCCCCCCCCCCAAATTCTCTAATCTGAATATCAGTAGACAGCTCATTGTTAACCACTGCATGGATTTCTTGAGAATTCAGTGAGGAGGTCCAGTGACCAGTAAGGTCCACTATGTCAAAGTGAAGTAGACGCTTGTCAAAGGCATTGACGAGTGTGGTGGCTGTCTTGTGAGTTGATCAAGTTATAATTCATGGGTTAATGGATTCACTAGTTCGCTCCACCCTCCCTTATGGCTGTGAGTAAGACATGGCCACTGAAAGCGGAAGACATGAAAGGGTTAGCTAGCTTCCTTTGATCATAAGTGTCTGCGTTCTGTCTCCTGTCTTAAGTGGTATAATAAGGTGAGCAATATTGAGATGAGGCATTCGTCGAGTGCTAGGTAAGGAGGGGAAATCAATCGACGAGGTTATGAAACTATTTCGGTGGAGATGACTGGGACTTGTGCTATGCATGCATCCGTAGCCATAGCCTTCTTCGACAACGGGTAGTGTTAGCTTGGTAATTGGTAATACATTAAATAAAACTAACAATTTTCAAATTAAATCAAGATTGACACAATTGACACAGTTCGAGGAGGTGAAATGTTTCCCCAAAACTTTTCAGATAACAATATGAAGCCCAATCACTCCCAGTCTATATGAGTGGTGTTCAATTACTCTGTAGATAACAACTTAGACTACATCTTAATTTAATATATGTGTAAAACTTGGGCACTGTGGTAGTATGTAATTCCATATTGGTTTGTTTATTAGATATGTCACACACACACACATTGAAATAGTATTATTTACTGGATGGCGTTTCGAACAAAATTTATTCGTTGTTCATAATCATTCCATCAACTATAATCACACGACTTCGAAACTTGACGCTTACAGTTTTCTTTGTTCTCTCCTATTTGTCGTCGTTAGGGTAGTAGAATTTTCCAGATATCTGGTTGGACAAGTGTTGAATGATTCCTATTACACGTATTTGCAGTTGATTCGATAAACAAAGCTTCTGTTATCAATCTTCTCCACTCGCCACCCTGTTACATTAGATTTTAAAACTGTCATCTTATCCCATCCTCCTGTTGTATGCTTGTGAGTAATTGCATGTATTGAGTGCTATAGCTGAACTATTCTCTAGATTTCTTATCTTATTCGCGTCAACTGGTCTAGATTTTGCTACTAGGTTTTTATGCTCGGCTAGTCTGACTGCCCCTGTTCTACTAATTTGACCTAGGTATTTCACCTGTCAATCATTGCAGGCAGGATATTAGGTAAACAAAATTGTTTTGCTTACTTGGATCCACAGGAATGAATGATACTTTAACCGACAAAGCTTGTTTCCGAGTGAGTTTGTGGGTTTGAACGCCAACCACTTTTATTCCTGCCTCCATTGTTAAGAATTCTGTGTAAGGTTTCCGACGTACCTTCTTTGTATGGAATTACTACTGATGATTTAGATTCCTTATTGTTGGTGTTGTCTTGCGTATGTTTGACCTGCATGTCGTCATTAATATTACTATTATTATTATTATCACTATCACTGCTATTATTATTATTTTATTTTTACATTTCCCTACATACTTCTTGACTAATTTATCAGGGTAATTATTAAGTTTCAAAGCTTCTCTTACATGTGTCACTTCCTGTCTTAGATTTTCTTTGGTGCTATTTAGTTTTTGTGCTCTATTACTTAAACATTTCACCAATTCTATTTTCACTGACATAGGAAGGGATGATCGTAAGTCCAAATATCTGTTTGAATTTGTGGGTTCCATGTAAAACTAGTGTTTAACTTCTCATCTTCTTTCCTTTTTACGCTGCAATCTTACACTGGGAGCTCCCCGTCTTGACTCTTTCCAATTCATAAGTGAATTGCCTCCACCTTGGAGTTAACGCCTTCGAAAAATCTATCTATATCCTGTGTTCTGAGTGAAGTGAATGTGTCATCTACATACCTCCTCCATACTTTTGGGGTGGGTGAGGGTGAACGTCTCAATCACTATGTTTTCCCGCCTATCCATGAATACATCTGCCATAACATCTGCTACATCTTAATTCGACATGACTTTAACGGTGGTCATACCGTCTAGGATGGCCTGCGCCTGGCAGGCTTACTGTAATAGTCATCTGGAGATATATACATGTCGCAGGAATTTTGAACCTGAGTAGCTAGTCTTCATTTTAACTGATATGTCTAACGTAGAAGACGAAATTGTCAACATTTATCTTTCTATGAGTGATCACATTAGTTAAGTAACATTTCTACAAACGTGCCAGTTCACTTTCCAAAAGCAATTCAGGCTTTCTGATGTTCAATTCCTTCATCTATCTATAATTTATGCATAAATGCTCTCAAGCTCCATATTTTAATCTTCCTTTCACATTTTACTATGTTTATCCACTGATCCTAATATTCTTTCTAACCTTGAAAAATCTCTAATTATATTTTCTTCCTCATCGTTTGCCTCTCCTCTTCTTCCTCTTCCTCACATGATCACGTAATTGCAACAAGGTCAAGGTCATTGGTGGGGAGGGAGGGAGAGAGGGAATTAACTGGGAAGTAGGTAGCTTTGTGTTGAATAAGCAGCAATTGGTCAGACCTGGAAAGCCCTTTCATAAAATCAGAAACAAAAAAAGCGAAGAGAAAAACACACATCTAGATCAAACAAAGAAGATTGTCGAAAGGCATAAGTATGTTGTTATATTAGGCCTAGACTTCGAAGAGCAGATTTGAAAATTTTGATTTAAAAATCCTTATGACTTGATTACATAAGATAGTAAAAACGTGTGATTTAGTATTGGACAAGATTAGAACAATGCTCTATAAGCCGACAATGCCACTTACTAGCTAATGACTAGAATAGAAAAACGCTTTCTGCTTATCAGGGTTGAATATCGTTGATGAAAGTAAGGTTGAAAACTGAGGATTTGTCAAGGTTACACTTTCAATTTTCAAGTGTTGCTTTGTAAGGATCTGATTGGTATCCAATTTGATCAGTTACAGGACCATTGAAGAAGCAGTGGAGGGTACTGAACAGCCAACTGTTTCGTCCTAGTTTGGGGCTCTTCATCAGGACGCATCCATTACCCTACGGCCAGAGGTCAAATCCAGGACATTCAAGCATTAGGAAGGAATCTTTTAATATTAATAATAATAGTGATCAGTTCTCTTTGGACAGTGTTTAATGTAATGTACAGAATTTTAGGCGTGGGTTTATTGCGTGATATTTTTTATATATATATAACTTCATCATAGATATGCGTCGGTGGCACAGTGGTTAGGACTCTCGCCGACCATGCACATGGTCCGGGGTTCGATCCTCTGCCGGCGCACACCCGATGTCTATCGTCGGCCTGTAAATTGGGCTACCGATATCCATGCTGAAAATTCCATAATTGTACTGAAAATACGGTGTGGAATCAAGCTGTAAACAAAATAAATAAAAAAAAAATAGTAATCCATGATCAGACTTCAAACCAATCAAATCCCTAAATACCAACACATTTGAAAATACATCTGGAGCCTTTCAGTGACTGGCTGTAGGATGAAGTTTCCTGCATTTCTAGTAATGAGTCGTGACCAGTGGGGTTTACCAGGTCGTGTGAGAGGACTAATACTCACCGATGACATTAACTCACAGTCATACTAAAACTCGAGAATTAAAAGAAGTTAGAATTCCTCCCAGTAGCTGAATGGTCATGGAAGCTTCTTTGCCGTTTGAAGGTCTTTGATCTTATCCCTGGTGGTCACCAGCAACTCAAAATATTCTCTAATATGCCTCACTTCCTGTCTTAGATTTTCTTTGGTACTGCTTGGTTTTTGTCCTCTAATACTTGAAAATTTCACCAATTCTATTTTCGCTGACATATAGGATGAGATGATCGTAAGTCCAAATATCTGTTTGAATGTGTGGGCTTCCTGTAAACACTAGTGTTTAACTTCTCATCTTCTTTCTTTTTTACGCTACAATCTAACATTGGAAGTTCCCCTTTCTGACTTTCCAATTCGTAAGTGAATTGAATTGCCTCCACCTTTGAGTTAATATGTTCGAAAAATCTATCCATATCCTGTGTTCTAAGTACAGTGAATGTGTCATCTACATACCTCCACCATATTTTTGGGATGGGGCTGAACGTACTCGAAACTGATCAGCACATTAGTATCTTCAGGCTTCGCACAACAACTTGGATGTGATATATAGTGCATTAGAAAAAAAAAAACTCAAACACAAACTCAAATATATGATCAATGACAAAGATTATACAATTATTCTTGAAACATCCAAAAAAGCTAGAGAATCTGCATTAAGAAAATCAAAAAACACACAAATCAAAAAATTCAACAAACTTATTGAAGAAAAGAACACAGCAAATGAAATTGATGTCAATGCTTCATCCTCTATCGACAAAACAAAGTGGGTGATCAACCTCTCATCAAGGGAACTAAGCTCCAGTGAGGTAAAAGTACTGGAGAAAGGACTAAATTTCATCAGTAAATATTACTGTATAACACT